ATATACAAACAGCAATTGAAATTCGGTATTTGGTTTTATTATTCTTATCATTTGCGTTTGTTGTAGTTTTATTGGGTATCTTTGTTTCCTAAACACATTTATTGATGATATTTGTTGAATACTTTGACATTATAAAAATCGCTTGAAGTTTATATATATTATTCTATTGGTTATTATAATTATTTCTTGTCTCAATAATTTAGGATGCCACGTTTTGAATGATATTAATTTCAATAGATTGTTCATGATTGACATAGTAGTTCGATAACTTATTGAATACTGTGTATTTTCTGACCTGTTCGATATTTACTGTATAATGATTGTTTCCTGACAATATCGTATCAAGAAAATTATTGGTATCGATTCTTGCACATTTACATAACTGAATCTAATGTTAGTTTTATTTTTATGAAGATGATTATTACATGATTCGACATGTTCTCGATTAATTATTATTTTTATAAAAATGTCATCGACATACCTTCAGAATTTAAAAGGTAAATTAACTTTTTCTGGATTTTTCTTCATGTATTCATCATTGTTAAGTATAGCTAGAATGGATGATAAAATATTACCTATAGTTAAACCTTATTTTTGTTTATAATAATTTACATGGAACTGGTAGTAATTTCTGTCTAAAGATAATAATAGTATTTATTTTATGTTTTTTTTAGTCAAGATTATTGGACAGAAATTTTCGGAATTACCTATTATATTTATAGCTATCTGAACAGCGCTTGTTTCAGATATGGTCGTAAATAATTTTGTGCATATGAACAATGTAAAATGTTCATTTTTGTCTATTTTGATTTTAGATGTTTTATGGATGAATTTGGGGGTGATACATTGAATTTTCGATGGTTCCTCTGAACTGTGGAATCAATGAGAATGCATATCTGGATGCAGTTAACAAAATTATATTTCTTGTACTTATAGTTAATCACATCGGACAATCTTCTTTATGTTCTTAGAGCATATCAATGGTAGTGTCGTCATAATATTTTTTTTCAATAAAGGATTGTTGAAGAAATTTTCTTCTTTTATACAAGAGTAGTGAAAACAACGCTGTATTTTTCTGTGCTATTTGATCACTATGGACCTAATATCTTAGTAATAAAAGTACGATAAGAACTGTTTTTCTGTAAAATGTAACGGCTGTACTAATACTATTTGACAAAAGGTTCAGTGAGTATTTTCTGAATAACTTCATAGGAACAAGATAGAGAGTTGATGTTTTCACCTTTCTAAAGAAAAAATAAAGATGCATAGAATTGTGTGCTTCAAAAATTTCGGTCTTATTTTTTTGATTTTTCAATCAACTTCTTTGAAAATAAATCCATTACGCGAGGTGCGCATGACGAGTTCTTAAGTGTCAAGTGTATATTTAAATCGACAAAGAAAGATCTACAAAACCGCGTAAGGTTGTTATGTTTGAAATTAATTTCTCAGATATCATAGGCATCTTAGTTGAAGCTGTCAGTGATTTATCTAGAAAATTCTATGACAAAAAGTGTTTGTGATGTTTGTGTTTTAATAAAAAAGCATTTTTTTTGACATTTAGAAAATTAATTAAACAAATCTTAGATAACATATTTAGAAAACCTATAAAACGCAATTCGATGCAGAGATAAAAATATCATCCCGCGCCACTTCTCATCGCTGCTCACGCCTAGGCTACATTAGTGTGAACTTCGAGGTACGCGTGCTCACAGCTTTCCGATTTCCGGTAAACTTTGGGAAAATGATGTGCAGAGCAAAAAGAGAAGGAGGTATGCGTAGTGCGTAGGCGCGAGCAGTTGCACGGGGCGATTTTTTCCATGTCTGCAATATTCATCCTTTTCTGTCATTCGAATCAACATTCAAATATATGAATTTTGACTTTTATCATTGTGTTCATTAAAAATGCGTTTTTTTCCTATAATTTGTCATGTTATTTAACTGCATTGGTTTAGGAATTACACTTTCTTGATTGTATTCGTTTAAAAACATGTAATACTGCTTTATTTTCATAAATCGTTGGTGTCATTTTTCCAAGTTTACCACGATGGCATAAACTCTCTTTTTATGGAGGTTATCAAATCCATTTCGTTCAATTTGGAACGATATACTAGTTTATTGAATATGTTCACTCTTTGCTTTATTTATTTATTATTTTCCTCTCTCTTTATTCAAAAATTAAAATAAAACAGAAACAACGAATTTTATCTAATGATAATATTTATATAATAACTGTTTTAACTACTCACAGCGAGCAAGATCGAATGGACAATTTTTCTGTTTATTGATCGAATAGTTGCCACCTCAATAGAATAATACGATTTAGCAATCGGACTGACTTTAATATTACGATTATTCGCTTGGTAATTTATTGAATTTTTATTAGACAAAAAAAATACAATAGTGTAATTATTCAGTTTTTGATTATTTCGAAAAAAAAGCACCTGCTTTCAATAGCAATACCGAACAAGGCTTCTTTTTTTCTCTTATTTTCACCTTTAATAAAAATTTGGTCGAAAGTACACCTCTTGATGAATGTGTTTGAAATATTGTTCATATAGGCAATTTATTTGTAAATCATATTGAAAGAATGCTTGAACAAAAAGCCTTTTGTATTAATTTACATTTGTTTGCGTCATCTTCTCTTCAACAACAGAGAATTTTCTAGTGTTTATGAGTAATACTCAAAATAAAACATTTAATAAATGGAATTCGAGTTATTTTTATGAATGGTTACCAAAATAGTATTTAAGTCAGATAAAAACTTTTCACACAAAGAAAATCTGTTTGATCAATAATTGAAAAGTATGAGTTTTATTCTCTATTACTGGTTCTATATTTCAGTTTGCGATTCGACAAAATAAGAATCAGTACTATAAAAGTAATTTATGTTCTAGATTATATAAACTATGATGGATTTATTCAACAAGAAATAAATTCAAAAGAAATTGAATTTCACATGTGAATAGGTTCTTAAAATCCTTATCTTAAAGTTAATAAATAAACTTTAGTCTCGGATAGATAAATAAATAGAATTGTCGATTAGTTCATTTATGTCATAGTTTGATGATCAAAGTGTCGATCAATAAATACTATGATCAATCAGTAATTTTATGGTGAAGAGTTACATGATAAACAGCAAAGTTTTCATCAAAAATAAACTGTAATAATGGTACTATATAAGGAAATGCTATTCTAATTATGTAACGATACTTTTGTTTGAAGAAGGAAATAGGTTACATTATGAAGAAATGATTTAATGTACGATATCAGTCTTATGATATTTTCTTTTGAATAAATAATAAACTAAACGAAAAACTTCACTGTAATTATTAGACTTTTTTAATAATCAATTCTGTTTTGGTGTGATGAATAAGATATGATTAAGTACCTATTACAGCTCATTCTTTAAAAAAAAACAGGATATAAATTATACTTACATGAAACAAAATATTCTAGGAATATCGATTTTCCATATATTGTCGAAATATGCCTAATCACATCAAATGAAGGTCAAACAAGAGAATGGTATTAGGAATTTTAGTTTTTGTATCAAAACTTCAGAAAATGGATGTAAGCACAAACATCCTCATATTGTACAATTGTCGACAAAATTTTTCGTTCGGTTTTTAAATGCAATTATTTTTCTCTGCAAATATTTCGAAACAAGATATGGACTACGCCTTTTGGCCAATGAAACTTTCCAGAGGAAAAATTGTGTTAAGCAATTCGCCTACTTTACCATAGATATAATATGGCACACCTGTCAACTATCTATCTTCATATTTATTTATTTTGAATTACGACATTACGTCATTCAAATAACACTCTCAAAAAAAGCAATAATCGTCAAAAAACTAGTAGCCAAAATTTTTGCCAAAGAAACTTTTATCAAGAGGATATTCTTCAATGATACACGTTAAGGTATATATTGACATAAGTAGGATGAACTTTTGCAAACTATCATGAAACAATATTGATATCATTAGGAAAATTGTAAGAACGGAAGCTAGCATTGCTAGAATATATATCATAGATAACACTCATCGATCTAATTAATAGAAAAGTTTTCATTTAGATCCTATTCATAGGATGTGGGTGTGGCTTCTTCACACCTACATCCGTTCGACAGTTGGAACTGATTTCTCGTTAGTCTAGAAAACCTAGACAAGTTGCTTCATAAAAAGTTTTATTTTAAAAAGTCTTATTCACCAAAGAGTAGCTGCTGTTTTTTTAAAATTTATCCGTATGGATTCGGCTTTATTTTCTAAACATTTTTAGAGAAAATCATATGCAAAAGTAATTCCTTCGGACTGTAATAAATGTAGTTCAAGTACAATTAAACTTTCAGAGCTCAATTTTTCGTGTAGATCTACTACAGGGTGTGTAAAGATATTTTTTCACGCAGTAACTCACCGATTTCCTATAACATTAATAACAAGTTTTGTACCAAACTAAAGCGTATCAAAAATGGGGTTCGTCTATACTGAATGAATAATTATTAGAGCAAGTTTTCAGTGTCGAATTCAGAAAATTTCTAAATTTTTATGCCAAATTAGCAGAGAAAAATTCCGTTCGTAAGGTAGTTCATTCAAAATGATGAATATCAAAAAGTAATATTTATTTCTTAAGGCTTGATACACATAATCAATAATTCGTATAAGTACAACGATCATTAGCAATTTTACAGCAGGAAGATGAGATGGATACTAGCATAATCTGATTTCAAGGAGTTCAATGCTTATTTTCATGCTTGTCAAAACATATTTCGAATGTTTCCTAGAGTTTGATCATCAAAATGATTGTGTGTTGTGCCTGATGGTCATTCTTTTCAGCTTCATTTTTGTTGATTATTCCAATATTTCCTAGTCTACTGCCCAGTACTTTTTGATATTTATTGTTTCGAATGAGATCTAGTTTGAATTACCTTACAAAATGAACTTTTTCTGCTGATTAGGCGTATTACTTTATGAGTTTTCTGAACTCGACGAAGAAAACTTGCTCTAACGTTGACTATTAAGAATTGATGAATTCCATTTTCGACGTTCCTTCATTCGATAGAAAATTTGTTTTTGATAGTATTTAAAATCACAGTGTTACTTTCTTAAAGATTTATTTTTACATATTCACATCCAGACAATCGGTGTACTATTCGCAAAAACCGCGGATCAAAAGATGATAGCTTTTTCATGGAGCTATATTTACAACAACATCGTGCAAAAATTATTGTCCACTACTATAGTTTTAATAAGAATTAATATTTAAGATGATGATAGTGTCGAAAAGAGTTTCTGACTTTTTTGTTCACAAAATTAAGTGTGAATTGAGTTCATAAACTATTTGAGATTGATTCAAACGAATGCTACCACAAATTTGTATTTATAAATGACATATTCGAGAGATTAATTTTTACATTGAACGAAGAAAAAGAACTTATTTTTTGCATTTACAACTAATTTTCATTTTGGTAAACAAAACAAAGCTTATTTTCCTTTCATATTGATTGATTAGTCGATAATAAAGAAAAAAAAATACAAAAGAAGAAAGAAGAAATATTTTTCACCATAAACCAAAATCAAATAAAATCATGTTGTGCAATAACGTGCATTACACATACTCAAAGGTGGCAAAAAATAAACATAAAAACTGTTACAATACACAACTGCAATGGAAGACCAGAATACACAGGTATAGCTCGGTCCGTCGAAACATGCATTCCCTCTAACTATTGTTCCTACTATTGATGATGATGTTCCATTATACCATCCTGCTAGAAAAGCACCACAATGATATATTCCTGGTGGTGTCAGAGGTATGGTAGTACCTCCTGTACCGATAAATCGAATCCATCTGCCACCAATACTTGTATTAAATAAGGGACCATTATCACATGAACCACCTATTCCAGATGTAGCTATACTGCGCAAAGGATCGTTAACAACTGTATATGATGAACAAGGTGGATCATTACTAGTGCCACCATTACCAACATCATAGATTGTTGATGTTGTCAGCATTGGTATTCTTGTACCTAAACATCCATCAATTAAATCAATGTATTGCTAGAAAATTATTTTTTCACTTGAATATAAACTTGTTTTTGATGTGTTGTTTTCGTTTGTTGTAGAATGAGAATCGACAACAGTAAATTTTATAATAATCAATACAATTATTACTGTAATGAGTAGAGTGATGACACTGAACACAATGATTTTTCTTCGTGTAATATTAAATTGTTCGATAAAATTTCTTGATGATCTTTGAGATTGAAAAAAGCAAAGAAGAGATGTATTCTTGAGAATATTTCTAGTTAAATCCTACGTCGAAGCTAATGACTTTGGTTGTATATATTTATCTGATGGTGTTGAGACTGTTTTAGAAGACGGATCAATTGTATGTGATTCTTGACGCCATGTTGTCGATGCAGTAGTGTTTTCATCAGCTTGCTGTTGAGAATTTCAAACAATTTTCTATTCATTATGAATTAAAATGAAATACTAATTTTTCCTACTTGATGTTCAACGTCAATATTAAGATATGATGAATTTAGTTCAATTGAAACTTCTGTCATTGTATTGTATTTAAAAGAAAAACTCAATTATTCAATTTTGTGCTTAGATCTTTTTATTAAAAAAAAAGGTGGCGATCGAAATGATTGTATAGTTTTATTAGAATTCTTGTTTAGTTTGTAAGAATAGCCAAACATTCATTTATTTCTGCGATTGAAGCAACATTTCTAGATATCCGATTTGTATGTAATTATGTTGAAAAAAATCTAGTCACATAAAAAAAAGTTTCTTTTATTGATTTATTCGTCCTATATTAGTCTTCTTTCACCATACAAAACAATCTATTGTATGTTACAATAGCCGAGAAAACTTTCTTTCATTATAATAACATGCAAATGTTATGAAATGAATTCAAAGATACTTTTGTGTTGTTGTAAGAAAATTTTTTTTAATACCTATTCATTCGCGAAGATATTACTTCATTAAGCCTTCTCTTTCCCTCAGGAAAAACCACGTTCGATTAAATTTATCGATTTTGTAATTTATAGCTCGTTAGAGAGAGTACGATATCTAATTTACGAATTTTATAAGAAGATTTAGCAATACTAAATCTACGTTGGCAGAGTAAATAATCAAAGATTTTTCACTCTTATTTCATCAATGTAAAATAGAGTATGAATCACTGTTTACTTTTTTTGTTTTTGCTAAAATTTTCTTCATCACATTTTTAATCATGATAAATATAATATATTTTGAAATGTTTTAGATTATTTGAAAATATTGTTTCTACATAATATTTATTGATGTAGAGGAATTTTTAGTTTTTTTAGGTTATTTTTGTTGAGACTCTGATAAGCGTAATAAAGTCTTGAAACTTATTTTACGTTTTCTTCACAATAGGATTTTTAATTTTGACGTTTTCATGTGTCTTAGATTTCTCCACCATTTCTAACGCTAGAAAGCTGAGTTTGGTGTCAAAATGAAAGCAAATATCAGTTCTACAACTTAACAGAGTCGAATTTTTCGATCTGTCCTGTAATGATTACGAAAAACTAACCGTTCTGGATCTACACTCTGTGATATTTTTTGTACTTTACGCCAAAGGAATTTTCGAGAAACACAAACCAGGAAAAAATATAAAAATCAGGTTCTATTGGGTTATAGCACCACATCTCGCCTACATTTTACAACTAATTCTAACTTTCTAAGATTTGAAACCGTAAAAATATTTGAGACGCACAGACACCTGTATTTTAACTCATAATCTGAAGCTAATTCCTCGTAGAATCTATGTATCCAACTGAAAATTTTACTAAGAGATTCCATGCTAGAGATGTATCTATACCAGAAATTTCGTCAATATCGGATGTTCAAGAAAAACATTGTTTTTTTCTTACGAGGGGACCGTTACTGAAACAACTGTATAAACAGCAAAAATATGCCTACAGCAATACCAGATAATACATCAAACATAGTATTTATTGTGTTAAAAAGACAACTTTTCATTGTTTTGCTCGCTACCAATTGTCTGCTGGTTTGAAGAAACGTAAAATTTGAGAGAATCGATTGAATTTCAGCATCCACCAATACATATAGCTTTTAACATATTGGAAGTAATTGAAAAAAAGAAAACAAAGAGTTGTTGACTGCTATGGCTGCTTTATCAGCAATAACATGTTCGTTTCTTCCTTTATTGAAAGCATATCGTGTTATGTTCCTTTTGTATTGTCTAAATGATTTATTAATAATTTTGGTAAAATTCAAGTATAAGAATGAGTTTTTGTTTATCAAAAAAAAACAGTGTTTTTATTTTTCTTAGTTAATCGATATATACCTGTTAGAAAATTATTTATTTATAGACTAGAAAAAAACAATAGATTTAATACTAGTATCAACTTCATAATTGAATAGTATGCGTACGATGAATATTTCAATAATGCAGACAACAAATAATCTTCAATTTGCAGTAACTTAAAAAAATTTGGCTCAATTCATAATTAATCATCTCTCATTCAGGTTGAACTTTAGAGTTAAATATACATATTAGACAATAAAATTTCAGTTTTATAAAAGTAGATACTCACTCGAATACCTTCCGGTGTCTAGCAATCGGATCAGGTTCCTGGAGTCCGACCCAGCTTGAAGCATGCATCCGGATATGAGATCATACCTAGACCAAACCTGGAATTTCATGAGATCTTGACATTTTATAATAATGTTACTTTTTCAAACTGCTAATTTATATAAAAGCATAGGAATGAAAACCAAAGATACCAAACGAATCCTGAATCACTTGCTTCATTGTAGAATTTCAGATGATCTCTTTTTTGTTTTGTTGCTGTTTATGGAAGAAACTAAATGGTATACTTTTTTTCATATGAAACGAATCTTTAAAAAACCATACTGTGACTGCAAAAGTATCTCCATATATGTCAATGAATTCTGATCGGAGCACGACATTCAATGCTACAGCGAATTACTTCACTTTTGTTTTTAACCCATCATGAATAATAAACCTTATTGAAGATTCTGTTTTTTTCAATACATAAGTATATATTAGAAAAAAAAAACTTGATTTAGATTGCAAGACAGACAATTGTGTGCAAGTTTATTGAATAATTCAAAAAGAAGAGAAAAAAACAAAGAATTTTCCATTCATCGTACTTAAAGGAAAAGAGACAATATGTGTAAATAAATGAGTATATATTAAACGAGAATGGTCTATGTATTATGAAGATGAAGAAACAAAAAAGCACTGCGAGTAAGAAAGAAACACAAAAAACAAAAGAAGAATTGTTGCTAACTTTTATGAATATCAAAAAAAAACCAAAGACAAACAAATATTTTATACAAGACAATTTGTTGTTCACTGTGTGATGAGACAAATACATAAATAATATTAAGAGAAAGAGAGACCAAAAAAAAAGAAAAAAAGACCAAGACAACAACATCAAAAAGAAAAACGAAGATCATTGCTCAAGCACATCAACAACATTCGATTGAATGTTTAATTTAACTGATGTTGCAGTTACAGATTCGTCATCATTGGGAGCATGTGGTGATGTTCGACATGGTTCAAATGGTATTGTTTCATTTTCATGATTAGGACTACTTGTCATTTGATGATGTTCAATTGATGATAATGATGGGTCATTATTTGATGATGAGAATGGTTGCATTGGTGTTAAAAATGAAGATGATGGTGATGATGAACTATGTAATGATGGTAATGTTGAATCTAATTAAAATTAACAAAAAAAAATTTCATTTTATTTTTCAATAAAAAATAACTTACTAATCAATTTATTTTCTTGTTGTACATATGCTGTTTGTTTTTGTTGTAAATCAGTTGAAATTGATGGTGATAATGATGTTTGATCATCAGCAGTAAAATCTTCTTGTTCATCCTAAATAGAGAAAAAAAAATTTATGTAAAGATTTATTTTTAAAATTTAATGAATAACACATACCGGATTTGATGTTGATGTAAATGTCATTGTTGTTGAAGGATGTTCAGAAAGAAATCGTTGTAATGGTTGAATAGATGTCTGAGGAGTATTCGTCATTGACATCATACTAATAGGGAAAGAAAGAAATTTTTATATGTAAAATTAAAAAAATTATTATTATTTTTTCTAATATTACCGAACAATTGTTTCTGGATGTTGTTCAGTTGATACAGGTGATAATTTTGGAGGATATAAAGCATTTAAACGACTTTGTTTATAAACAAGAAAAGCTTGTTCTAATTCATCGAATTGTTTTCGTTCTTTACGCATTGCTGTTAATGTACGTGAATATTCTGTTTGTTGTTGAGATAAACGTGGCATTTCTTGTTCTTCTTCAGGTGTACATAAAGACTAAATATATACAAGAAATTTTTTTTATTTTTATATTAATAATATGATTTAATTTGGCTCAAGTAGAAAACATGTTCTGATTTACCTACTGCATGAATTTCAATTGACTACAGGATAACTATGGCATGGTTTACCTTAGGAACACTTATGTTCAAATTTCGATCTCAGACTTTGCCTAGAGATAGGTCTTTTCCCTGGAATAAGAACATCAAATCAGCTGGTATATTACATAAGCTTTTATTATAGCTGTATCTTAGGGTACGAACAATAAAATACTTTTAAGTTTTCACAATAAACTTTTCTCGGTAAGGCTATGGGCTACACAAAGTTTCAAGTCAAAATTTTGAAAATGAGTTTTCGTTATGTTTCTGAGGGAGACCACAGTAGTGACTTTAAAATGCAGTAATTAGTATATTTGACCATTGATTTTAGAATATAGTTCGTGTTAGGTCGATCTCAGATCCAACTAGTTGAACCCTCCAGTTGTAAGAAAATCTGAATAACTTTAAGAGATCGATCTTAGGAACTATGTATCAAATATCTGGATTATTTTATTAGATTTTTCAGTCAAAGGATCAACTTTAATGAAAATAAAGATTTAATTAATTGCAAATTTTTGTTGTTTATTTTTCTTACTTGTTTTTGTTT